CAAACTCATTAATAATTCATCAAGTTAAAACAAAGAAAATCACAACCGTGAAGGAGGTTTGGATACCAGGCCTTCATTAGCATAGATTTTGACGATTTTACTTCTCTGTTTACTCCTTAGTTTTTGTTTCGATTGAGAAGATATATCAAACACTCGAGGCAGTGTTTCATCAGCTATCCAAACACCTCGAATTTCGTCAAAAATACTCCGCTGCGCGTCGTATTTTCAACTCTCTTCTCGGTGTCTGGATATCCCGATGTAGAGTTTTTTATTATTTTTAAATTTTATTGTAGATTTTTAATACTTGTATAGTTTTAGATTATTTATCGTTGTAATGCGCTTTTGATCACCTGGTATGTTAAAAAGCGCACTATAAATCAATAAATTATTATTATTGAAACACTGTCTCTTGTGTTTGATATATTACATCTCATATCCAACAAGCGCGGGTGGAATAATTGTTTTACATAAGCTTGTGTTTTGTTTTTCATTATGTGTGGAGTTCTAGATCGTTACAAAACTTCGCAAAACAAAAGAGACTTTTCTCTCGATTGTCTCAGTACAGCTCTAACAGAAACTTAGCAAGAAGGCCTCAAATGGTTTTGCTTTTATTGCTGAGCTACACTGTAAGGCAATTGAAACAAAACTGTTTGTCAACTTGAGGTTGATAGAGGTAAATGGACACTGAAAATGGGTGTATACCTTTGAGCCCTTTGACTTACAGACTGTCAAGAAGGATCAAAGCTATTGTATTTGTTTATTTTTCGAATATTTCAAACTCGCACAGAGGTAAGTGCTTTAGCTTTCGTTTCGATTTCGTTTGGCAGACAATTGCTGACTATGTTACTTTAATGTATTTCCAGGCGACTGCTTTGCTTTCCAAAGAATGTAAGACTCCAAAAACCATTCGAATCAGGATACCTTTCCGAACTAATAAAGGGTTATTAGTTTCAAAGCGTCACATAAGTATTCAAGACATTTTTTTCTTAATTAGTAGCCGATTTTTGCCATCAAAGTGGCAAAAGTTTCTACAGGTTATAGCGGAATGTACCCGCACTTGCAGTTTTCTCCCTTTCAGAAGATGATAAATGCTCTTATTTCAGGAAGGCCTATAGTTTTGTGACAGTGCGGATGTCTTACGGTGGATCTTTTTGCGCGAGCGAGCTGGATTTAACTTCTTTGACATTATAATTTTAAAATGTGCCACTTTCAGATATCGATGAATGCGTCCTTGGAACAAATGACTGTGACCCAAAGGCTAACTGCATTAATGCTGATGGATCTTTTTACTGTATCTGTCAACACGACTTGTATGGAAATGGAAAGATATGCGTTAATAGCATTGGTAATATTGTTTCTAATCGATACACAATTATTATAGGAAGTTTCTATGTTTTCATGCAATAAGGAGCTTCACAGACGTGAATTTCAACCGACGTACTTAGAGAAGTAAATGACTTGGAATTAAGTACCTTTTTTAAGTTTTGTTTTTTTTCCGAAATCTTTTGTAAGCTTGGTCACTTGATCTAAAATATAGTATGACTAATAAGATCAACTAAACTAAAACCCCAGTTTCTTGAAATGAATTGTCTTTTTTTTCTTATTCTTGCTAGCCTCTTTCTGATTTCTAGGGACAACCCAGTATTTTTTATTCAAATTGCTGCTTTTTGTGAAAAATGTGGTCTGGCTTAGCCACGCGTTTTTCAACTCTGTTATATAATTCATTTAGAAAGTACTCTAGCGTGATTTCGTGTGCAAGTCTTTTGTTTCAGCGGAGGAGCTTCAAACGAAAACCAAGAGAAGAATAGTATGTAGCGAAACAAAGCTTTTGTGCGCCAAATCCCGACGGCTACGGAGGCTAGCAGCTAGTTTATAATTTTACAGCATTTCTAATTCTTCCAAACTTTCACCCGTGTTTCCATAAATCGACAAAAACACGGACACATTTTTCTATTCTTAAGAAATATAGACATTATCTGGTAAACATTTCATTTCTTATAGCTCCTTGTCAATTAATACGTTCTTTTTTATTTTTGCGCGGCAGAGGGACTCAGTCAGTCGTCCATTCTTGGTGATTATGGAAACATAGTTACATAAATACAATGAAATCGTTCCTTAGCCCGGTCACCCAGTATGGAAAATGGGTGAAATGCTATCGAGCAATGACGGATGGCTGGGAGTCTTACACCTTCCATTCCAAATGCGATTTTAAAGGACCGACAGTTACATTTATCCGTGTTGGTAACTATATCTTTGGAGGATATGCTGGCGTCTCTTGGCAGAGTGAGTATCAATCAGTAGTACTCTATACCTACCTATATCTCACCATGCCATAAAGCACACAAGGCTTCGACATTTTCTTTCCATCCACTTCGATTTGCAGCTAGAGGTCCTAGAGCCCTGACAGTCGCCTACGACTGCAACCCAAATGCGCGTCTTCTTCAATCACCCTCCTCCACGTTGTTTTGGGTTGACCTGGTCTTCTTCCTTCC